GATGTCCCCTCAAGATAAGTATTATTTTTTTTGGTGTGTTTGAACTTTAGGCAAGTTTTTTCAAAAACGTCCTTAGCAGTAAAAACAACGTCGAAATCCAAAATTTAACTCTCAGGCCTTAAATTGTTTCCCTTTCCTTTCTTTTAAATCACCAGACAAACCTTAAGTTTTTTATGAATTTAAATGAACAGACTCTCAGATGAGGTTAAGATTTTTCTTATTGTGTTGTAATTGAATAAACTGATATTTAATCTGGAACCTCTTACAGTATGTTTTCTTTATATATTTAATATGAACTTTTCCTTTATATCTTGTATATGTTTTATGTTTTCGATCCTCTCACGGCGCGGTCCCGGAATGCATTTTTTTCACAACGCAAAAATGCTGTACACGTTTCACTATACGATCACTTCCTTTAACGGCAAGTAGTTTCATATTTAACATTTAACAATATAGGAATTTCAGATATAACATGGTACCTAGAAGTAAAACTATTTAACCATGGTGTCGAAACTCTTTTAATATAACCCTATTTAAAAATGCAAATTACATACATATTGATATTAATTCTGAAAATTAAACATATTTAAAAATTCAGTCAATGATATAAGACTGCACAATTAGTTAGTCAACATTTCATTATCTTACAGTTTGTCATTTTTATATGAATAATAGTAGCAAAATATACTGAAGTGCAATATGACATTTAAAATTTCCAAAATTACTATGTAAAAATTCAATATCAAGAAGGGAATACACTGGTTGTCAGAAGGGAATATAGGTATATACACTGGTCGTCAAAATTAAAGCATAATGATAGAAATGAAACATAACTGACATTTAAAGAAAAATTATTAATAGAAAGTTGTACAAAAGCATTAAATAAGATAAATTACAATGTTTGGCAGTTAATTATTCACAAAATATTGATATTAAAACCAAATTTATGGAAATTGGAAAATGATGGAAAAATTAAGTCACTTTTTCTGGAAAAAAATTTTCTTTAATGTATGGTCATCTCAAACAAATATGCATACATCACATCTTGAACTCACAGACCTGATCAAATTGTTGATCAAGTCTTGTGGAATGGCATGCCCCTCCTTGAATATTTTTGATAATGCAAATAATTATTTATTCCCCAACCATTCGACAAATTTATGGCAGTTGTAATTTCACATGCTTTATTTTCATATATTTCTTTTCAAGGAACTTTCGTTTTTAAATTTTATTCTAAAAGTGCACTTTTCAGCTCCTGGAGGGTCCAGGGAGGAATTTGGTGTGCCAAAATTCGAAGTCTCAAGGCACCACACTCGTGCTCAATCAGATTCAACTCAGGTGAGTAAGGTGGTCAATCCATTCGAGTAATATCTTCTGTTTGCAAGTATTTGACACCACATATGTTCAATAAGGCCGAGCACTGTATTCCGTTAGGAAAAACTCTGGGCCAACAGCAACCCTAAACAGTCTAACTTGGGGTTCCAGTACCTCGTCTACATATCACTGGGTGGTTACAGAGCTTCCTTGGAAGATATGCAGTTTGGCTGTATATCTTCCATGGCGCATTTGTCATGGTTCCTCCCAAACCATTAAACCGCAGGCACGGGCAAAGGAAGGAACTGAGTGTTCCTTTCTCTCACCAGATTAAAACACATCTAGAATCACAGTTCAAACTATATCTGGACTCAACATTAAAGAATACTTAGGCCCAGTGGTCTTGGCTTCACTGAATATGACAATGGCACAAGTTTGAACAGGCCCCTCTGGAAGCTGGAATGGATGGGACGCAACCATGTGTTTCTCGTAGACAGTCTAACCTCATTAAGCCTTCGTGCAACAGTGGAACAGTTAATTTGAGCTCCTGTGGCAGCCTGAAGGTCTAAAACCAAATCTCTTGTAACCCTTTGTGGTTTCCTTGAACTGACAACTAATTCTTCTAATGCAGTTGTTGCTTACCCTTGAACAGGCTGTCTATCAATTGAGCCAGTGCTTTAAAAAAGGCTTCAAACTCTTAACCCGTTTGTGACCAAGGTTGCGTGGACGCGACGCAGCGATTCCACTCTTATCAGCCCAGCGTCGCTTCCTCGCGAAGAGCTCCGATTGATATGGAGAGACCAGCGTCGCGTATGCGTAATCAGAAATCGGAACGTTTTATTTGAATTTTTAAATGCTACTAGATGGCGTTTAACGGCAACGGTTTTCACAACGGTCGACTCATATGGTATTTGACCTTCATGAACGGCATTGGTTTCTGTTCTATGCTTCTGTATTTGATATATTTATTGATGTAAACAAAGTGAGAATCACTGCTCTTTAAAGGGCTGGGATTTATTGCTCGCTGTGTTTATATTTTGACAGATTGTGGAAATTTATGGAACGTTTATTAGTTGAAATGTTGGAGTAGAATTGCGTTTGTCTTTTGAGGTTTTACAGAGCGAGATTTCGAAATAGATGAATTAATCAAATAGTGAAATGGAAGAAAGAATTTCTTCTAGTTAATATAAACAAACTGGGAAACACGGGTGTTTGAAAGAGCATGTGTGAGTTCAAGTGACTTGTTTATTGCTTTGTTTTTTTCATTAGGAGAATATGGGGGAGTACATTCAGCGGATTAGCAACGGGTAAGAGTAAAATATTTATGTTTGGTTTAGGCGCCGTTTTTTTTTTTTTTTTTTTTTTATGTGTGTGTTTCGTAGAAGTTTAGGGATATGTGATCGGAAAATTCAGTGAATTTATTTGCATTTAATGACAAAAAGAAAAAAGTGCTGATGTTATCAACTATACATGACGGCGTTATTGTGCCAATTGGTAAAAAAGACCGAAAGACTGGAAAGGACATTTTGAAGCCACTCTGCGTTGTGGAGTATAATCACAATATGGGGGGTGTTGACATTGGCGATTCTATTATTCATCACTATCCAGCATTTAGAAAAATAGTAAAATGGTATAAAAAGCTGTTTTTTGGTTTGTTAGATATGGCACTTCTAAATGCAAATGTAATATATTCGAAGGTAAAAGGCGAGAAAATATCTGCTTTGGAATTCAGATCCAGAGTTATTCATCAAATAATAGGAAAATTCGCTAAACCAAGGAGCTCAAAAACTTGTTCAAAATTACCGGGCATTCAACCATTTCGTCTAACTGGTAGACATTTTCCAAAAATTTATATAGATGGGAAAGGAAATAAAAGTAGAAGAAGATGTGTCATATGTGCTAAAAAAAATCGAAAACAAACATCATATTATGAGTGCAAAATATGCAATGTTGGACTCTGTGTGGATCCTTGTTTTGAACTATATCACACACAGCAGAATTTTTAAATTTCGATTTTATTCAGATATAATTATTATTCTTAATTTCCTCTTTTTTATTTTTGTGTTTGTAATATTTGCAGCTTTGTTTTATTGTGTATAGTATTTGTTTTCATGTACATAGTAATAATTTTAGTTTTTTGCATATTTCATTCATTTGTATCAACGTTATATTTTTTATTTTAATAATATTAAATAGAAGTATAGTATATATATAATTTATAAATTTGGAGTCTTTTTATTAAAATGCTGATTTTATACGAATTTTTTTGTAAACTTAGGCTTAACTGCTTAAAATGCGCGGGCCGGTAGTGACGCTCCGTTTCAGAGCGTTCGTTCCCGTGACTGAGTTTTATTTCCGGTGCGCTGGTCCTCAAGGGGTTAATATGATATTCAGAGTGACACAAACTTTGAAGAATATTCAGATCTCGAGCAACTTTCATTTGTGTTTGACCTCCCTCGATTCTACCAATTATTCGTCACTTTTGACCTTCACTTAAATGATGCCTTTGAGTCATAATTACCGACTACTGATCACTTTCAGAAACCATTCACTTTAAACAACACTATAGAACGGAACTCCAACATGCACCCACTGAGCACTACATTGTCGGCTAGCGAATTTACATATTTCCTGCACTAATGTATGCGTGAAGGGTTAATTTGATTTCATTTGTATTTAACCAACATACATAATTGCAGCATTGAGCACTGGTTGCAACATTAACTTAGTAAGAATAGTGTTTCTCCTAATCCTTTAATTTTGATGACCAGTGCATATAAAAGAAAGTGTTTATTTTCCAGCATTTTTTGTCTTTCACAAAATGAAGTCATGTTAACTTTTATACAGTAAATTGACTACACAAAAATTTATGATGGAATAAGTTCAATCAACAGCATGGCTTATATTTAAATTTCCCTCTTACACATTACAAATATTTTCTTCCATGGAATAAAAAGTATTACAAACAATATACAATGGATGGAATGCTTCGACAAATTAGATTAACAAACAACTACATCTGTAATACTTAAAAGAAAACAATTCTAACTATTTTTAGTCAAATATTACTCCATATAAAATCCCTATTTCTGAAATTCACCAAGAACAGCAAGACTTAAAAAAACTCCTGCGTAGCAGTTTTTTTTTTTTCCATCAGAGAAATCAAATAAAAAGATAACTGACAAATATTGCTTGGATAGCATAAGTATAATTTCCTTATTTTCTATTCGAAATCCTAAAATTATTTACCATAAAATTTGCATGAAAACTCAAACATCTGCACACCTTTTACCAGGATATATACTTAAGAGTTTTAAGTTTGTCTGGTTTATTTGACTACCGAAAAGCACACTAGGGCTATCTGCCTGTGTGAAACTGGCTCGTATACATGTTACATATGAGAAAAACCATGAAAACGCTCATGCAGCCAGCCCGTTCACCTGGAATCGAACACAGGTCAGAACTACCAGTTTTCAGCAACCTGACTGCTCGGTTGCTGGTAGGCCCCTTTAGCATTTTAAAAGTTTTAAGAAATGAAGCATTCACAATTAAATAAGAACATTTATTTCTTTTAACATTCAGTGGCTATCAGTTTTGCATTATAATTCATATGTTACACAGGAACTCAAACTTTTTTTTATATATAAAGATTAAAATAAATACATAGGTGAGAAAATTTAATCTACCTCATCTGGCCATCCAAAAATTGAAAAAGGGAAAAGACCAGAAGAAAACCAAGTATCTAACACATCTTCATCTAAAAGTTGCAAATATAAAGTAAAGCATTAAGTAAAAATTCTTCATAAAAGTCATAAGCAATTGCAAATACACAAGATAATTTTTTTATCAAGTTTACATGTGTATATCTTATGCCAAATGTAACACACAGAGCTGAATTTTTTAATTAAATTACCTTGTCTCAAGTCTACATCTTCAGGAGACACATTAAACTTTTTGGCAGCCTTTTCTTGAGCTTCTTCAAGTGATCTAGCACTAATCCATCTTTCATTGTCCGTCTCCTATATAAATATCAGTAGTTACATCTATTAATTAAACTATACAGTGAATATTAAATTATGCTAATTATGAAATATAAATAGTAATTTTTGGTTTACAGGAGCTAAATGTAAACACTGGCACAAAAATCTGTCTAGAGAGAGGAATGGCATTTCTAGTAATATATACAAAGTTCATGAAAAGAATGGCTATTATGTTAAATTTAAAATAAATCCAAAAAATACAGACAAATATAGAAGTTTGAAAAAAAGAACACTTGTAATTATTCCAACCAACAATTGTACAGTACTTTTATCTGTAGTTGATAGAATTCTATAAACATGAGTTCTTGTTACCAAAAATAAATAGCTGTACGAATGCAGGAGCCTTTGAAACAGCATCCTCTCTGCAAACCTTTCTTCTTATGACATAATCTTCTACTGCAGTCTCATTTTAGTACTTTAGTGGTAATAAAATTATAATTTCATTCTTGGTTTTGAAATGCCTTAAGATTTATGCCTTTGTCTCCGGAGAATTTGAAAACCACAAATTTTGTCATCTGGCAAATTGCCAAACCATGTAATCTTTGTTACTGTACGTTTTTATATAATTTTAATCGGAAAAATCGAGATGCGCGGCTTATGCAAAACGAAGCAATATAGGCCAGGTAAACACAAGATTGTCAACATAAATGATTTCTTTTTGAAGTTATGGTATCCCCTGAAAATATGCTGGATTATGTCTGAAGTATGTTAGTCCTGAATAGTTTTTGTGCACATAGGATTGATGCAGTGCAAAAAATGTGCCAGGAAAAAAGGACTAACCTTGTGGTTATTCTGGATGTGTTGACATCTATACTGCAACTACTAGATGTATGCATTAAATGTCCATTTAAAGCAGCACTGAAAAGAATGTATATGGAATGCATGGCTGCTGGAAATCACGCAGTGACACAGTGGTCGCATCAAGAAACCTGAAATAACTCGAATCTGTGGATGGATCAAAGCTGCCTGGGATGGAATTTCACAAGAACCTATTGTTAAGAGCTTCAAAAAGTGTGGAATATCAAATAGATGGATGGAAGTGAGGATAGTGCAATATGGGATGATGAGGAAGAAGAGAATACAAGCAGTTCAGAGAGCATCATCATCGACAGCAGCACAGAAGGCGAGGAAGATTGACAATCTACATGTGTTACAAGACTGAAGAAGTGCCATAGTGTGGTAAGTTGTCTTCCTTTGTTAGATTACATGTAGATTTTAAAGGATCACTTGGGACTTTTAAATCCATATTTATTGCAGTGATTGTTGCCAACTGAAGATATTGTGTAACGAATAAAATTTTATATTACATACTTAAATTAGCAGTTTTTTCTTTCTGCCACAGATTTAAATTCTGGTAACTGATTTACTCCTTCCCATTAAAATGTTACTGGGCATGTATTGCTACGTACTTAGGCAGGAGCTGCAAAAGCTGCAGGGGGCAGCTCTGATTTCTTTCCTGATAACTGTCAATCGGTATCATATTTCTTTATGCTTGCAATCCAGAAAAATATTTTCTGTAACTTAAGCTTTCAGTGGACTTGATGAAAATATGCACGCCATATTCGCAGACTTTTTTTCTCTTTTGGTGCATCAAAAATATCGGGTGCATGCCTTATTTGGTGGCATATGGTATTCATGATCATACAGTAGTTCTCTATTTTTCCCCCTCTCTCTCACTCACACACACAAAAAAAGGGTGGGTCACCTTAACCTTTTAAAAAAGGTGACTGAAAATATCTGAGGGAAAATCATTATTTTCATGCTCATTTTTCTCACATGATTCACATAATTGCCACTCATACCTCATTAATAAAAAAAATACCATATATATTACTCAAATACTTTAACACTATGCATTTTAATACTATGCATGTTATATATAAACACTATGCATGTTATTTAACATATCTGAGCAAAGGTTAAATGAATTATCAGAAAACTGGGAACAAATATATTGTAAAGACCAAGTAAGAGATAATAATATTAATACAGGAAAACAAATCAAAATAAGAGTCATATAATCATATTTTCTGTTATAAAAAATAATCAAATTTTTTCAGTTAATCGTTTGAATTATAAAATGAACTGAATATACAAAATAAATCTGTTATACAACTTAACAAAACACTATGATCAACCTCTTGAGATGGTTTAGGTCTTCTGTGGAGATACTTGTTTCAAAAAAGCAATATTCAAAACTGATATTTATTTGTAATGTTTGAAATAAACATTAGTCACTTTACGAGGTGATCCTTTTAGGTAGAGGTTAACGTTAAAGAGTTCACTACAATAATCAGCAATATTTCAGAAGTTATGAAAATTATTCCTGAATTATAGATAAATACATCAGCAATTGTCAAATTTTTATGTATATATAAAGGCTGGTATATTTGTTTAACCATAACATTTAACCAAGATTATTTTGTAAGAAGATGGATACAACTATTTTTACAGCAGATAGACTTCAAAAATGCTTTAAAATATTAAAAAGCCATAATTTAATTTGTAATTGAAAGAAAGGGCCCATTTGAAGCTGTTTAATAGCAAACCGTTTTAAGTGAAAAAATGAGCATTTATCTAAAATTTGTTTCCAGAATTTAAACACAAAAACATTCATGGGTGAACAGGAGGTACTTCTTAGTAGTTTGTTAAAGTGTGCCTTAAACTAACTTCTAAGTGGGTAATATGAATAAACAATTGCAATGCTGACAAACTGCACTGTAACCCGAATGAAAAATAAAAAAATAAAGAAATAAAATAAAGAATGTAAATAAAAAATGCCATAATTTTAGAATAAACAGTAACAGAAATTTCAAAATTAAATTTTTAATACATCATTTTACTTTAGAAGAATATAAAACTAAGAAACATTTGCACTTACAGAATCAGCTACATTCTTTGCATCTTTTATGGTAACATAATAAGCAGGAATTCTATGTCCCCACCACAGCTGTCGTGAAACACACCAATCCCTAAGCAATTTGATAAAATAATATAAAACAAAAATTACAGCCATATATCCACATTTACAGGTATCCATATGAAATATTAGCAAAACTAATTGAAAAAATTTCTGCTCACATTTTCTTTCAGAGTTCTTAGGAAAGTCTGTTTAGTTTCCATAATTTTGAACAGTACTATAACCTATATAAAAAATTAATGTCACTTTAACTAAAGTCGCGATTTACATTTTAATGAGTGTGGCATAGTATCCCCTTATGATGAAATATACTCTAATAGAGAAAGTTATTCCAGATGAATTAATGTCATTAGTGTGTGTTTTAGATGTGTGTGTCAATAAACCATTCAAAGGATACTAATTCAGAAGTCAAACAACAAAAATCAGCGTTATATTTTCAAAATTTTCGCAGGACTAGTTTCGATGGTTTTTACAGAACCACCATCCTCAGCTGCAAAACCGACTCTTGCTCATTTTACTGTTTTGCAGCTGAAAATGGCGGTTTTGCAGCTGAGGATGGTGGTTCGGTAAAAACCATCAAAACTAGTACTGCGAAAATTTTGAAAATATAATGCTGATTTTTATTGTTTGACTTCTGAATTAGTATTTATTCGGCGTGTTATTGTGTCTTAATCATTCAAAGGATATTCAAAACGACAGTGGAATGCGTGTCTGTAAGAAGGTGAAAAAAACATTTACAAAAGGAGGCCAAATGCATCACGTTAGTCTCGAAATAGTTGTAAGTGGATAACAAAAGCATGGAATGAAATTAAACCTGATATAATTCAAAAGTCATTTAAATAATGTAGTGTATTTAACGATCTAGATGGAAACGCAGAAGATTAATTATTTGTGAATCAGTAACAGTAATGGTGAGTAACAGTGATGGTGAAGATGAAAGGGAATTCAATGATGTGCCTAAAAATATAATAGAAGATAAAAATATGACAAAATTTTCATGTTATCTGATAATGAAAATTTTTAAGTTCATAAAGTATGTCATTTCTTGTAAATAAATAGCATTTAGTTAAATGTAGAAATCTAATTTTTTTACAATCAACTTTTTTTTATTTTAAAATTTTCCTAGACATGGAAATAAATTGTTTTTTCCTAAACATCTTGGCTTTTTCTATCATTTTTATATATGACATAAAAAAATTCACCTGTAAATTTCAGTCTAATTTTTTTGTATTAAAAGTGCACATTATATGCCGGAATATGTGTTTGTTCACTGCTTCAAAAAAAAATTTCTTACTAGAAGAATAACAACTTTGATGAAGATAATGATAACGTTAATAAAATCCAAATCTTCCAATAAATAGGTAAATATGAACTGACATTCATAATCAAAGTTCAAAATAAAACACAGTTTATAGTTTATACTAAATAGAAAATTAAAATGAATGTTACTTATGTCACATATGTATTAAAATATGTCACAAATTACATGTTAATTTGCAAGTCAGTTTCAAAATAAACTGTATTATGTAATTTGCAATGCATTTAAATAATAATAATAATAAAAGTTTAATTTTTTTTTTTTTTTTAAACTGAAAGGTTTCAGATTTTAAACTACGTCCAAAGAGGCATTTTTTTTAACGTTTTGTGTGTTACCTTTATTTATTAAATATCATGTTCTTTGCATTTAAACCATAAAATTCAGTTCAATAGCAATGTCGCAAAATAATTTTAAAATGAGCATATCTCTAGAATTTCCGATACACAGTTCCACGTGCTGGAGATAAAAAGGTTCTTTCTCCCCCTTTAGAGTGTTGCCATTGCTTGCTTTGAACACCTTGAGTTTGTTAATCAAAAGTTTGTTAAAGTTTTACAAAATATGAAATTGATAATAAAACAAATTCCAAATTTCAAATTTGGGCTTCCACATGCCCATATTCATAGGAGGATTACGTCATTCAAAATTCGATGGCTCTATGTACTGTTGTTTTATCACAATGCGAGAAATATGCATACATTTATGCAGATTTTTCATTATTTAATTTCTTCAAATATAATGCAGGACTCTAACATTTGGTGGCAACAGTTTGAAAAGTAAAACAGACATTTATAGTGATTCAACACAAAATCGCAAAAGAAAAACAATAGTCCTTCAGGGACAAAGCCCCTTTGGACAAAAAAAAAAAAAAAAAAAAGAGGGGGAAGGGGAAAGTAAAAATATAGTTATAACATTGCTTTGCCATCAACCATGAAAACTTACATCAATCCTTCCAGCAAATGTTTGGTGGAACATTTCATTCTTTATTAAACTTTAAAATCATGATAGAAGTTACATTACTTGATGTAAATACCACTGCTGAACAGATATTTGTTTGTCACAATATTTCTCATTGCATTGCCATTGTTTACATATTTTCCCAATAAAGTCTCTATTATGTCCATTAAGATAGTTTGTCACAATATTTCTCATTGCATTGCTATTGTTTACATATTTTCTTAATAAAGTTTCATATTATGTCCATTAAGATATATATTTTTTAAGGCAGGATCCTATGACTTTGAAAATTGTAAGCCATTCTGTTAGAAGCAGGTCCTAAATTTAAAATTCCCCATCCCCCAAATGTGAAGAAAAAATACAAAACTAGCAATTAACTGATTCCTACAAAAACTAAACTAGCTTATTGAAGAATAATCAGGGTTACATAAAACCAAAGCAGACTTAACAAGTCTTCTGTAATATGAAAGTTATTCATTAATGATGCTTTACACTTTTTGATGGCAGTTTTTGTTTATGAAAATGGTTGATGGCAAAAGAGATTGCCAAAATTACATAAGAAATCCAAAAGTTCTTACCCTTACATATAAAAAAAGTGTTTGGCAATAAATTCTTCTTGCAGACATTTAATGGCAATACTAAACAAATAAATTTGGAAATTTGTCTAGAGAAATCACATCAAATCCTTTTGTGACTAGTTACTGTATTAAGTCACTAAGTAGTTTGAATTGAAGTATTGTAAAGTAGTAAAAATTGAGTATCATTCTGTGATTAACTATAAACTATTTTGACTACAAAAATCTTAATCCCAATGACATAAAACGATGCTTTTCTATTCTATAAGAAAGGATGGAAAAAACGATTCTGCATGGACCAGGAATTCATAGATAATGATTCTTATGAAAGACCATGAGGAAGGGCATTGATATCGCAAAACATTGCACATGTTCAAGAAAAAATATTGAGGTATAGGTGATTAAAAGTCAAGGTGACAGTAGCAAGACAGGATGTAAAACAACTGCTTTGTCCATTTCATATGAAAATCTTCAAGACAAGAAAGTCTGTCACATCTTGGTCACGCACAACATATTCAACTTCAATATTACTGCTTACCATAACCCTTCATCTGTTTGCTTCCCACCATACTTCAAATCATGCCATTTGACTAAATAGAAGTTAGTTTCATTTTATTCCTTTGTTTTCCATGCACTTCAAGTTTTCTCCTCCAAATCAGCTTTTGGGTGAGAACTAAATTACCTAAAAGCAGCTGCTAGTGACAGATGCTTTCCACCTAATATTATTGACCAAGGGGTTCAAAAAAAATCTCATCTCAACACATCAAAAAGCATCCTCTTGTTTTTAATCAATTATAAGAACTCTGTTGCCATTTCTTTCTTTTCATCAATTAGCTATAAAACTGCACATATTTTACAAAAATTCAATTTGGGTGATTTTCTCTTCTGTCAATATATATATATTTTTTTTCAATTACATACTTAAGGACTCCACTCCAGATATGAATTTCTGGAGAATTCCCTGCCAATGTGGTTTAAATTACATTAGCCTTAAAATTTTGCACTAAGGAAGATAAATTATATGTTAGGAAAAAAGAAACACATAAATCCTCTGTACCCAAAACTACTGGTCAGAAACTCACATATTTTCTTTTTTCTGCTGCCAAAATTATTTAAAAAACATCATCCATTCCGCAGTCACAAAAATCTTTTAGTTCCAGTTAATAATCCGAATTCCAAACTATCTTTACACTCAGCTTTTAAGGAAATTGGGAAATTTTGTATTTATTTTTCAAAATCAGATGGTGCTAGTAGCTTGACTTCCTTCCTCTAATTCTTATGGCCTTATCTTATCACTGATTACTCTTTCCTCATTTGCACTTCTGCAATTGAAGAAGGAAGTCTATATTCAAGTCTAGTCCTGTAAATTTATGAATACTACACTGAATATTTTTGCTTCACCTTCACCAATAATGATTATTCAGCATGTTATTTTAACTCAAACCTTAGATTACTATTTCAAAGGCAATTTGCTAATAAAATGATGTGAAAAATGTATTCAGGTATAAACAGATAATGCTAAAAATTAAATTATTAAAATACATTCCATTTCTTTAAAAAACAGGCTGGAAACATTTAAACCTATCTATATACGCTCATGTCCAAAATTATCTTTACATACCCAAAAATGATGATATTCAATGAAATATCGAATCAATGTGATCCGTATTTGCAGGGAATGTGTGAAAACCAAGCCTAATTAGCATTATCCAATCAAAAGTAATCAAACGGTTTGTGATATGCAAATCTAGGCGTTACGTCATCCAAGGGTGAATCAAGCGCTTTGCGCAAACTGAATATTTGAGTGAATTTCTACAACATAGCGTTTGATTTCAGTGTGTAGGGACTCAAAGCGGTTTGTTATGGCTTCGAAGTATCATTTGGAAGAATCTGTAAAGTGGCGAATTATCGGCCGTTTAAAAGCAGGGCACTCAATCAAGGAAACAGCCACATGTTTGAATATTTCAAGACAGACAGTCTCTAAGCTATGGAAACAGTTTCAAAATGATGAAAGTGTTGTAAGAAGGCCTGGACAAGGTCGGAAACGAATGACAACTTCTTCTGAAGATCGGTATCTGGCATTAACTGCCCGTCGTAACAGAAAGGCTACTGCTCGCCAGTTAAATTCAGAGCTTGCAGCCGCCACTGGAACTCTTGCATCACGGCAAACAATATACAGAAGGCTTAATGAAAAAGGCCTGTATGCCAGAAAGCCAAGGGTATATGTTTTACTGTCTTCACAGAAAAAGAGGGATCGCTTTAATTGGTGTAAAGAACATCAAAACTGGACTGAACATCAATGGTCCCATGTTCTCTTTACTGATGAGTCGTGGTTTAGTTAACTGGGTGATTCTAAACGTGTTTACATCTGGAGGGAGTCAGGAACACGAAATGATCCCTCAAACATTGTGGAACGTGACCGTTTCGGTAGTGGAGGTGTCATGGTATGGGGTGGAATAATGATCGATGGATGTACGCCCCTACACGTGTTCAGTAGCGGATCTGTGACAGGCCAGATATATCGAGATGAGATCTTAGATCCTTATGTAAGACTTTTCAGGGGTGCATATGGACCTGACTTTTTATTTATGGATGATAATGCCCGTCCACATCGAGAAAACCTCGTTGATGAATTCCTTGAAAGTGAAGACATTAAGCGAATACCTCGGCCACCAAACTCTCCTGACCTTAACCCGATAGAGAACTTATGGGACTACCTTGGAAGAGCAATTGCATGTATAATCCTCCTCCTAGAGATGTAAATGCTCTGAAGACGGCATTGCTGGAAGAGTGGAGATTAATTCCCCAAACTGTGGTTAATAACGTTATTTCCAGCCTTAAAACACGTTGTGATATGTGTGTACAAGTCAGGGAGATCATATTCCATATTAAATTCGTAAGACTTAATTCTTTTTCTGACTTCTTTTTCAATCATTCCTTTTTTTTTTTTTTTCTTAACTCTCTTTTGTCACACTTTATTACCATTTTTATTGTTTCATGCTACAATTTTATATCATATGAGGTGATCTTCAATTTTTTCTTTTGCATTTATGTGTCATCATGTTATGTATGATTCCACGAAAATTCATTAAATTATAAGTCATAGTCTCTGAGAAATCCGTGAATTTATGCATGTAAACATAATTTTGGACATGAGTGTATTTTACATGAAAGCAAAATTATACAGCATAAATTATAAGCAGCTTTTATAAAATTTTACTTCAACATCTTTCATCATTTGATTTTAAAATACTACACAAAAATCACAGTAAAATAAAAACCTTATTTTTTCCAGCCAATGATTCCACGTTTTTATATGAATTTCTGGATAAATCTTCAGATTTCCATCTTTGACAGCCTAAACACATTTAAAAGGGAAAAGGTAAAGGAAATTTTACACATTTAGAAAAACATAAAATCAAGACTACCATTAGTTCAAAGATAATTTCTAAAACATTTTTAAACATTTACAACAATACACATTTAATTTCATTATGCTTAATGATTAAATATTTTATAGAAATAAAATTTATTAACCTGAATAGCTTTCTGTGCCATGCCTTCACACTTCACATACCACTGAACTTTCAGTAGAGGTTCTACAATATCCTTTGAACGACTGTTAATATCATACATAAAATAAATAAATAATATGATAAACAAAGAAAAAAATTCCACACCACAACCCAATTATGGGCTTTAAGCTGCAATAACCAGTGATATTTTTTATAAATTTTAATGAAAACTTAAAATTAAGATATATCCAAACTTGAATAAAAAGCTGGTAATAATTGAATAATTTACACTGTAAAAGCAATAAACCAAATTTAAAAAAAGAAAAGAAAAGAAAGAATTCAGTTTTAAAATGCAATGAAACAAGTGCAAAAATTAAAAATCAAACTGGCGGGGAGAAGAATTTACATCTCTCAGTACATCTTCATGAGGTTGGTGTAATAAGAGAAGTAAATGAATCAACCTATTCTTGATCTGATAAAGAAACAAATTTATAAAATTTAAAAAACTCCATTTAAATACAGGACAATTTGTATTTTTATCAATCCAATCTTAGTGGCTAGAATGTAAAAGCCATCTTACCTAAATTCATACAAAAATATTTCATTTTTTTTTTCCTATTAAATTGCATACACATCACATTTATAATATCACAAGGAAAAAAAAATGAACTATTCAGACCTGCAAATTGGGACAATCATAGGATTGTCTTTTGTATCCCTATACAGTCCTTTTTCTTTCAAAGCATTTAGAACTTTAACTCTGGCTTCAAATCTTTTCAGTCCCTAATAAAAACGAACAATTGCAAAATAACATACTTTGAATAAACTGGAAAATATATTAATTCAGTACTGTTTTAATTTTCAAAACCTGAAGAAAAAAATTTAATTAATTAATTTAATCAAACAATTATTACTTATAATTAAAATGCATTATTTTTTAAACTGCTAGAGATCTTTAAGTAATTAAAAAAATTTTGGACATTACAGACAAAAAAGTCATCATTCTCTTACTTAATATTAAATGCAATACACATATTCATTTCATTATTTATTTTTATGCATACAGACTTCTCAATCAGAGAAACTGAGCCAATCTCAATTGCAGATTAAAAATTACATATTAGCATTAAAAAATAAGTATTTATTCCTATGAATAACTCTTCTCTACCATTTCTAAAGTATACAAGATAATCTTCTGAAGGCAACTGCAACTTGTCTTCTCCCTCTGAAAACACAGAACAGTACTGCTGCAGGAAGAGGACTGACTGCCATGCAGACTTGGCATTATTTCCAGTATGAAGTTACATTATGTGAGCTGACTGACTAGTACAGGAGATCACATTTCATATAATCTCTCCTCCTTTTTAGTATAATTTCACAACTTCTGCTATGTTAAATCTTTCTGTGCCAGTGAGACTTATTTATGCGAGACTGATCGTGCATGTGTAACATCACTATTAAATGACATACTTGGTTTAATTACTATTTAAAATGGGTAAATAAATAATTTTCAAGTAATTAAATATTTTTCAATATATGTTTCAAAACATTGAAATATTTGAAAACACATGACTAAATCTTTATAGTTTACCATCTTGTCAAAAGTTGACGACAAGCAGGGTAGGGTAAAAATAAATTCTGGTACTTCAATTTTACAGAGGCCTTTGTGAGAAAGATGAAATACTATGTTTCTGCCTAGGTGAGAAATTCACAGTTACCAGTTTGTGCATGTGCACGTTGTTAAGATTTCTTCAGCTGGTGCAGGAAAAGTGTTTTTAAATATAACTATTTTTTATTGTTAAATATTTAATACATGCCCTTCTGCATTTGTGAGAAACTGGTTACTGTCTTCATGTGCACATAGTTTATGTTTCCTCAGAGAATGATAATATTCTTTCAAAATATAAGCGTTTTGTTGTAAATATTTAATATGCTTATTATTAACAAAACGGTATGCCTCATTATCATCTAGAGTCACACCTTAACTGAATTCATTTTCGGGTATCACATCAGCTGTGACAATGTATTTGATGCATCATTAGGAGCAATAGTTGAATTGTGGCCACTGGAAAGTGTCGGTTAATTTGAAGTCTGAGGTATTTTTTATATGTTGCTAATTTTAAATAAATTGCTTACAAAACTACATTAAATAATACTATAAATAAGAATTTACGTTAAACTGTTTTAGTAGGTATATATTAAATAATGTTATGTAAATACTGAATTAACTGCCAATTTGCATATATCATCATTTATTTGATTTTATTTGTGTGCATTTAGCAAAGAAATCACACTTTTGTTAAGCCTAAATTAGGCAAACATCAATTTCCATTACCTACGCTATTGCCCCCCCCCAAAAAAAAGAAAAGCCCATAAACTGCAGTGTCACATTAATATTTCCCCTAAGTTATTTATACTTTTACAAAAATTCATCTTATAACAATAAAACAGCAGCTCAGATTTAAAATTCAAGTATTTTCTTTTATTGATTACTTTAATTTAAATAAATTTAAAATCTTACTGAAAATTCTGCACAATTATCATTCATTGTTCCATCATCATTAAGTATATTGACAAAAGGTAAGTTGTGTCGCAATCCAACCTCATAATCTGCTTGATCATGGGCAGGTGTGATTTTAACAGCCCCTAAGAGAAAAATTTAACAATAAAAAAATTATGAATATTGACTTTATATAATTTCACAACAAAGGCAATAAGCACAGTTGATACATAATGGAATATTTAATACTTGATTTTTTTTTTTTTTTTTTTTCTTACAGCAATGCAACAAAAGTAACATTCATAGGACAATATATCCTTAGATAGTTAAAAACAAAATCAAAACAATTACAACTTGTGCTGCATTAAAAAAGAGAAAAATTTCAATTTTTTTCTTCAGAATTTTATTACTAATAATTAGGTCTAATTCTATAACAACGAAAAAATTTCATTTTTTAAAAAAGAGAAAAATTTGCTACAATAATGAAAGTATATTATTGAATAAGATATGATTCTTTAGACTGAACTAGAAAATTAAAATTATTTTGACTGAATTTGATTTTCTCTCCTCATGGTAAAATTTTAATGTTTAATACTAAGAAAAATTGTTGAAAGAGTTACCATGCTTACATAAGCATGTTACATTTTTCACCCTATACTTTTTACCAAAATTAATTTGTGGCTTGTACTCAACAAATAATTTTAAAGCAAGTTAAAATTTTAAATTAATTAATTACCATTAACACTCTGCACACAACTAAGGACTTAGAAACTGTAATTAATGCCTTCATTTGAAACTTAAGTAGTGGTTTGGGGTAATCATGTAATATATGATCTACCACTTATATTTTATAAATAACTTAGGGGAAATATTAATGTGACACTGCAGTTTATGGGCTTTTCTTTTTTAGTTAGTTATTTATTTCTTAGATGGAGGCACTAAAATATTTTTTTTTAATTTAAAAGTGCAATAAAATGGGGAGAAAAAGAAACAATTAGAACAACAACCAATTTTAGTGCTGTCATCTAAAAAAATAACTAACTACAAGTGGTAGATTATACAATACATGATTACCTGTTTTTTTCCTTCACTAGAAATTTCACTGACACAACTGGTGTTGCTCTCAGATGACATATTATTTTTTGAGTTACCTATCTTATACGAAACAGTTATTTTTGAGTTTTATTAAATATATTTTGAGATACTCTTTGTACTTCAAACCAAATTACTTCAAAAGATGACTGTCCAATCTACATCAAACGTTTTCCCTGCTATATTCGATTTTCATTTTTCAAATGCACAGGCTGAGTTCAAATTTTGCTGTGTAACTCAATCGCACATGATCCATGTTTAACACATATTAAACAGATACTCAACAATCAGCGTTAACTATCACTTCAGCTTTGTTTAGAATTCCTGGCAGAGCCATATTTTTGTATATCCCTGTTTTTTGACTCATAGCTTGGCATAATTTTAAGACTTCTATTTTTTTCCCTAAGTATATTGTTTCAGAAACAGTCTGTGACTTATACATGCAATGGCCTACATACATATAAAAACATACTTTGTGTTAGTCATACGGCAGTAATTGTACTATTGGAGAAAAAAGACAACATTTGTATGAGGTAAGTACACGAAATTTGTAAAATATAGTGGCCCGGCATTTACACTAATAATTTAATGGCAAAGAACTGACTATGCAATTTCAAGAAGAGAGAGAGACACACATCGGATATGAAGCAATGACACATATAACTAATAAAAAATCATACTGCACATTTTTGATTGAAATTTACATTTACAAATCAGTCAAATTTTGCAGATATATTCACCATCATTGTTTTTGGTCACGATTACCATTTAATTGGATGGTGCTTTTATACACTAGCTGAAAAAATTGAATAAAAAACTATAATGAAGGTGGTAACTTCGCTATATGATATTTACATTTCATATTTACACTTTCATCTATTTTTTTTCATGGTGGTACTTCTCAAAGCAAATGCCACCTTTTAAAGAAGCACAACCCAACATTGCAAGTTTTGCACATGTACCAGGATCTGTGGGGCTCTTGTTTGGTGCTACAATAAGCACATCTTATTCTCACAGCCTTCATAAGTATGTGTTAGGCATTACTGAACTTCATTTTTTCAGAAACTCATTGGCATCTAATGGTCACTCAGTTCAACAACGTCACCTGATTCAGCAAAGTACTCTTCGGTATCAATGTTCTCCATATCGGATTCACTATCTGGAAGCAATTCATTTAGCATTTTCAGCACTTCAGAAATAGTCAGCCCTCTCTGATCCATTTGCAAATTAATTAAAAATCGGAAAAAATAAACTAGTATTATATCTATACTTAAAAAAATATAAACTATTATAAAATAAAATTAAATAAACATCTACAACTCAAATCTATCAACATGTAGAGCTAACAAAATTTCTTTCAATGGAAGTGAGAGAAAAAAGAGAACTAGTGAAAATCAAAAAGCTAACTAATAAAATTACCCCTGACTTTCAGAAAAACAACCCAATAATTTCTCAGTTGATAACCAAACCTCCAAAAAACAAGGAAGAAAAAAGAAAAACAGGAAATGAAACACAGATGTGCATCCACCTTCTTGTTGTGAATTAGCTCACCAAAGAAAACGTTGCAGTGAAACAAAGATGTGTCTGCGAATCAATTGTTGGCCTGGTCCTAATGTTTCAGTGATCCCACTCTGGGCACAACAGATGTTTCATCATTCGATTTTAGGCAAGATTTCAAAGTAAAAATTTAAAACTAATATAGAATAACGAGATTAGCATACAGCCAAAAAAATAACATAGAAAATTCTTTCCAACCCTCAATTTATTACCATTTTATACCCTAAAAAAATCTGGAAGATTTCTTTGAAAAATGGGGGTCTTTGAAAACTAAACATGACTGAAATACATGGACTGGTTTGTGTTGTGTTATCATCTAGTATTAATAAAGAAGGTTAACAGTAACCTATAAAGCCTTTTTCATTCAATTTTTCTGTGTGTCCAGAGGAAATTTTTTAGGTGTACCCAGACTGGGCACACTGTGACAGAAAGGGTTAAAGCAGCAAATTTTTATTCACATAATTTAGACATACACATGCATATAGTCTTGTTTAATAAACTTTTTTTTTCCATCTTTGTCCCTAAATAACTTAGCATGTAGCAAAACTTATTCCTGTTATTTCCTCTGCATCTTTAGTCAAAATTTAAATTACTGAAAAGCCTGACTTTAAAAGATATATGAAGATAAAATTCACAAGCCATGTTATGTGAAAGTTTGGTACTGGAACGTGAAATTAAAGATTTGGGGAGAGAGGGAGAATACCTCAATAAAATTTATGAGTGTATTTATATCTGGCAAAAGAAACTGAATTTTAGTTAGAATTAATGCACATCTTGTACAATAACAAAATGCCTTTCTAATTCAATTCAGAACCAGCATATTTCAGATTTTGCTTTTTAAATTTTACCAAAATTGGTAATTTTTTTAATTACAGGAAAAATTTCATTGTTCTCTAATTGGAAATGCTACCTAATTCAATTTATAATCTTTAATTTTATTCCCTTCTTTTATATTACCTTGCAAACACTATATAAATTAATAAGTTAAACTATTTAAAAATCGAACATAATCCAAAACTGCAATGCAAATGCAACTTTTGTCTTCACATCAAAAGTTATAAGTTGTTAGTTAAATTATTAATATCAAGCTTTCAAGACAAAATAATAAATTATACAACCTCTGTCCAGAAAGTTCAATGAATGTGTCTATAGGTGCAATGGATTGTTGTCTTACATGAAACAGCTGTTACTTTCTTTCAAACTAATCCCTGTTGGTGGTAGTGCACGGCTGGGAACGGCTATACAAGTCCTGAAAACTAACAGTATAATCGTCTTAAGGGATGAATTTCAGCAATTTGTAACATTACATTGGATGTCCAAAAACCTCTGGCCCTTCAGGGCTGATTTTAACTTGGAGAAGAAGAAAATATTTGGGCGAGACAATTCTGAGGAGTAGAGTGGAGATTCGCAGACACATCTTCTCTACTGGCCAAGAACTCCTGCATCAAAAAGGCAGTGTGTAGCCGGCCATTGTCATGGAGCAGGATCCAGTTGCCAAGGGCGTACCCGCTTGATCCGTTTCAGCAGACATTTCAGTATATCCATATATGTAGCAGCATTATCACAGTGCCCTCAAGGAGGAATTGTTTATGGAGGAGATCCACATGAGTTGAAGAATACCAAAAGCATTGTCTTGATGCAGGATTTTTCACTTTGTACCTACTTACTTTTTGGTGATTTTGGACACAGCTACTCCATACTCTGATACTTGCTTTCAGAGTCGTGCCCCAGGCACCAGGTCTTGTCACCCATGATGATGGTTTTCAGGAAATTTGGATTTTGATCCCCCATGTTGATGAAATCTCCAGAGGTATCAAGCCAAAGTTGCATTTATTCCGTTGTGCAGCATCAATTGGGAGCAAAGCTTGCATTTACCCAAACTGTGGGTCACATAAGGTGGGCTGTCTCACAACCAATTCCCATGACTTTCGCTATCATTCCCACTGTCACAAGACGATGCTCGGCCAAAAACTCCTACACTTTCTATACATCACTGGTGCACGCTGTTGCAGGCCAACAACTTCGAAGAGAGTCTTCAATGGTGCTCTGCTCTTCTCAGAAAATTTAAACCATTCATAAACACACTTATGGTGACAATGAATTTTTTGTAAACCGTTGTTAGCATTTTATGAGTCTCTTTTGCTGACTTTCCAAGTTTGAAACAGATCAGCATATTCGTTCAATGAACATGTTCAATCAGCATATTCGTTCAATGAACGAATGTGAAATTAAAGATTTGGGGAGAGAGAGAGAATACCTCAATAAAATTTATTATAAGTGTATTTATATCTGGCAAAAGAAACTGAATTTTAGTTAGAATTAATGTACATCTTGTACAATAACAAAATGCCTTTCTAATTCAATTCAGAACCAGCATATTTCAGATTTTGCTTTTTAAATTTTACCCAAATTGGTAATTTTTTTAATTACAGGAAAAATTTCATTTTATTGTTCTCTAATTGGAAATGCTACCTAATTCAATTTAATTTAAACAAATCAGCATATTCGTTCAATTACTGGTTGAACAATCTTACAATTGTTTGTAAGATTGTGCCAGTTGTACAATCTTACAACCATGAGCACTATTTCATTCACCGAACTTTTTGGACAGAGGTTATCTGTTAATATTTTTAGAATTTTCCTCCATTTTATTAATACAGGAACATATTCATCTTCCTTTTTCGCATTTATAATTACTTCCCATTTATAGAATTGTTTGTCACATAACTAAAATTATGAATGAAGCAATGGAAAAAATTTTGTACTCATAAAAGATAACTATATATTATGGAAATAATTAAAATGATCACATGACAGAATAAATGAAAATTACATAATCATACTCTATGACAGCTAAATATTACATATTCTAGGACATTAAATATAACCCTGAATAACAGCAGTATATATCATAATAAAAAGTCATACTGAGCTGTCTTTTAAATGCATGATACAAAGCAATATAAATGACAAATATACTATATCACTTTCCTACAACAAAATAAATTACATGTTTTTCTTAAGAACTACCACATCAATACATATATATATTATAAATTTATGGCATTATAATATTCTAATTATAATGGTTCTACAATTTCAAAATGTTAAAAAAAATAAAATTATCATACCAGTTCCAAACTCCATATCAACAAAATCATCACAAACAATGGGCATCTTTCTAGAGCAAAATGGATGAAGTACAAACTTTCCATGAAGATGAGTATAACGAGGGTCATTCGGATGAACAGCAACAGCAGTATCACCAAGCATTGTTTCTATTCTTGTAGTTGCAACAACTATCTCTTCATCTGAGATTGAAGAAAGCTGACTTATATAACTGGAATCAAATGCTAGCAAAATACCGATATACTACTAATAACAAAGAAAAGAAGCAGTAAATCTTTTCAGAATAAAAAAACGCTAGTACTAAATGAAAAGATTAGAGAAAAATGCTGCTAAATCATAATTTAAGACTTTAAAAGCATTAAAAGATCCAACTATAAGTAATAAGACCCAAATTTTACAAAATAAAAGTAATATATGAACTACATAAAATCAAAAATGTAAGGAAAAAAAAGACATTGATGTGAAAGAAGAAATCAAAACTAAAATGCTAAAACAATTATGGAACAAGAAAGTAAACAAGGGAAGTAATGGTGTAAAAAAAACAATTATTCAAAACTTTTTTAATCTTCCCTTTACAACATAACTTGTCAAGGGAAAAGTGATTTTTAAATTTTATACCCGGTCAATTATAAAGAGAGCCAAGAAAAATTTTGTTCTGAAATTTAATGAGACTTGTAAATGCAAACTTAATTCATCTGTCAAATATAATAGAAGAAAAAGAAGTCTCATTAAATTGTCTCTTTTCCTTATTTGTCTTAGCTCTCTTACACAAAAAAGGAATATTTAACATGTATACAATTCAAATTCAATTTTGCGTTTCCTGGCTATTTTCATTTGTATTTATGTATTTTCATTTCTAATTAAGCTCTCTCTTTAATGCTTTATCTTTTTCGTTTCACCCTTTCATTTTGAAATTGAAATAGAATTTTTTTTAATTATGAGGTTTTTCCTCTCTTTTGTTTTTACGTAATCAAATTGCTTCGTTCCAGGTTGACTTTTCTTTTATCTGAAGCCACTTCTTCTCTCATTACAGATAGTAATTCATTTTATTAGCATTTCCTTACATAAACTCAGACTATTTTATTTACATTTTTCTTTATTGTTTTTCAACAGTTTTTTTGAGACACTCCTTTCTTAAGTTGTTTTACAGGACTGTGTCTTTAAATTCTCTAACAGAGACTAATTTGAATTTTTCTGTATTTGCATAGTAAAAAATTTTCTATTTATGTAATTTGTAACATAGTTTTTGTCTGTGTCATTATATGCATGTTAAATATTCCTTTTTTGTGTAAGAAAGCTACGTCAAATAAGGAATAAAAACAATTTAATGAGACTTCTTTTTCTTTCTCTTCTAATTATTTGACAAATAAATTAAGTTTGCGTTTACAAGTCTCATTAAATTTTGGAATGAAATTTGTCTTGGTTCTCTGTTTAATTGACCAGGTATGAAATTTCAAAACACTTTTCCCTTGACAAGTTCTGTTATGAAGCTCCAGACAGGGTAGATTAAAATTTTTTTTTGCATAATTGTTTTTTTTTTTTTTTTTTTGCACCGTTACTTCCCTTGTTTACTTTCCTGTTCCATAATTGTTTTAGCATTTTAGTTTTTATTTCTTCTTTCACATCAATGTCCCTTTTTGCTTATATATTAATTTACTTGGTAAAATCCGGGTCTTATTACTGATAGCTGCATCTTTTAATGCTTTTAAACTCTTAATACTAATAACAAAAACATATACAGTCAAAAGTTGTTAATTTGGACACCCATAATCCGGACCCCAAAGCTAAAAACTTTGTGCGCATGCGTCGCATTGACGCATGCTCGTAACACCTTTACGGCCGAGAATGTTGGCTTTAGTTTTCCACATGCAAATTTTGATCAGAGGTCAATCGGCAGTAAGCTAACGTGGTTGCCGCTGATTGGCCGATGAAGTCAAGATCTGCGGGTTGGCCGAGTATTATATGTATATGTACGCCGGTATCGCTTGAATGTCTTGTTCTCTTGTGTTATTATGAGTTAGCATAATGCTAGTTTGCTTTCAATCAAATGATTTTAAATGTAAAGGCTAGAGTTTTAGCTCTTTTATTTTAATTTACAGAATAAAGCCGAATTTTATTTAGATTAGTCTTAGCTTTATTTAAGGGAAGCAAAATATGCTTTACCTTTATCACCACTGCCAAAAGGGTTATGGGCCCAGCGCCAACAGCTAATTGGTCATCCAGTTCAACTCAGCATTGAAGGAATGTAGGTGAAGAGGGCCGTGATCCACGAAAAGAAGCTGACCTGTCTTAGAAGTTTGTTCAAGTCGTTGTGCTCGCACTTAATTGAAGATGTCATTACTACCTGAAGGTTTTGAGCTGTTAAACACCATGACAACTGGGATCGATGGAAAGTCGACATGAAAATGCTGTTACTGGATAGAAACTGCTGGAGCTTCATAGAGGACAAAGAAGAAGAATTAGATAAAAGTGCAACAAGGCGTGAAAAGCAGGAGTTCACACTGAGAGAGAACAGAGCCTTCACTACATTATATTATGGAATTAAAACTGAGTTCAGGCCGCTGATACAAGAATGTTCAAGTGGTAAAGAAGCATGGGAAGTTCTACAGAAGCAATTCGAACCCAAAACAAGAGCAAGGATAATTCAGTTACTGGATGAATTTTTTAGTATTAGATATACGCCAAATGAAGAAATAGGATTATTCATCGCGAGGATAAGAATGACTGCAAAGAAGTTGGCTGAAGCTGGTCACAACTTGGCAGATCTTTTTAAAGGATTCCAGGCAATAAGGAGATTACCCCAGGAATACTCCTGGCATTGTACAGTTGATCTATAGGTGGAAGGGACGAAGATTTTACGCTGGAAAGAATTGCTGAAGAACTGGTAAGGGAAGAAAGCCGACTTCGCCAGGTAAATGCCGATTTAGAAGACAGCAAGGTAAGCGTGTTTAATACTATTAGTTTCAAATGCAGGGAAAGATAAGTTGAAAATAAAACTAAATCTAAGAAAAAAATGGGGAATATGAGAATAGGACCTTGTTTCAGATGTCATAAATTTGGGCACTTAATTCGCTCAATGTAAAGAAAATGTAAGTAAAAATCAGAAGTTTAAAATAGACGATAAAAATGGACAGTTTAAAAAGATAAAGAATTAATGTTAGTAGAAAATTATGTAACAACTACAGATAAAGGAGGTAACGCAGATAAATTTAATTGGGTCGTAGATACTGCAGCTACAACTCATTTCTGTAATAATAGAAATTTAATGACAAATTTCGAAGAAATAAAACGATATACGTATGTCTTTAGCTGTAGGAAATTGTGAAAGTAAAGTACTAGGAAAGGGTACTGTCAAATTTGCAGTAAAAGTAGGCAATCGAATAAATTGGATTGAGTTAGATAATGTGTTATATAATCCAAATCTAAGAAGAAATTTATTATCGGGAGCAAGGTTAGAAAAGGCTGGTGCTCATTTTGTGATTTCAAAAGGGAAGATGTGGATATACTTTAATAATTGGGATAGATTATGCTACGCTAAACGATATGACGGACTTTATCACGTAAAACCATTTAGATATGCAACAGGATAAAAGGAAGAGCTGGTTACGGTACAGAAATTGGAAAGTTAAATAAAGTAGACGATGCAATGCTATGGCATCGGAGATTTAGCCACGTAAATTTTGATTATATTAAGAAAACTAGTAAGAATCAAAGCGTGAAAAGGGTTACCAGAAATTGTAAAACCAATGGAGAGGTGTGAACCGTGTAATTATTGCTAAATCTAGTAGAATAACTTTTAAAACTGTTCCGAAGAGATCGGATAAACCATTGCAGTTGGTTTATTTAGACGTTTGTGGCCCACTACCAGTTCCATCTAAGGGTGGGAGTAAATATTTCCTTGCTATTGTGGATGACTATAGTAGATTAGTAACAGTGTATTGTATGAAAAATAAAAATGAATCGTTCTACAACTTTAAGAATTATCATAGGCAAATGGAAAGACTGACGAATAGAAAATTAATAAGTATACGCACCGATAACGGTGGGGAATTCTGTAACAGGCAATTCGAAGGGTACTTAGCCGAAAATGGAATTAGTGTTGAACGCACAAACGCGTACACCCCAGAAGAGAACGGTGTGTGTGAACGTTTTTAACCGAACGGCATTAGACGCAGTTAAAGCTATGCTTAATGATGGTAAAATGGGAATCATTTAGTTAAAAAATAAGTAAGCACTGCACATTTTTAGAAAAAAAATAAGCACCTGTGCATAACCTTAAATTAGACTTGTAATTTAAAAATGAGAAATGCAGTATTTATTAAGAGAGAATAAGCATTACCTCAACCTTAGAAAATAATTACTTTTTTTTTTAATTTTAAATAACAGTTCAATTTACAGAACTAGTTTACAGTGAGAGAAAAAAAAACTATGCCGAACTAAACTATATTACAAGATTTCAGTTCAAAATAGAGAAAATAAATAATAATAAGGCATATTTATTGTATTCGTTTGGAACCTAATAATAAATACAATTTATTTTTCCACTCATATTGATATTTAAATAATTTAAATCTAAATTCGGAACATTTTCTAAATTTTCATTGTATATCAGTTTTATCTTAACAGATACTGCAAGCAAAGTAATTTAAGTAAAAAAGAGGAACAATTCTGAAATCAGAAGGTGGGATATTGCTTTCATGCAGTCATCCTTTAACAGTAAAAGCTTAACGAACCCTCATATTCAGAAACTGCCGAATATTCGGACAGTCGAGCATAACTGGAAAAAGAGGAACGGAGGTAGACTGTAGCTGTTCATTAGATTTTTCGGCTAAATAAATGCTTTGACATTTCAATATGTGCATCGTATAAAAATAAACCAATGGAACTAAAAAATATTCTGCTTAGCAAGCACAGTAAAACTTCTTTTAAGTGTTCATAAAAACAAATCTTGGACAGAACATCAAAATTAATTATCTCTGCAAAATATCGCAAACTTTATTGTGCAATACATGCACCGTAATTCTTCCCTACATTACGCAATCGGAAATCAACAGCTGCTGGTATTGGGAGAATAAAGAACTAAATTAAGGAAAAGAAAGAGCCTTACCAATCTGGGGTGTTTTTCATTCTAATTTTGAACAGACTGTGTTAAATTTCTGGAATAGAATCATTTTTCGCTTGGTGTTGGTAGACCGCAGAACTTTTAGTCCTAAGCAATCCAGATTGGAAGAGACAAAAAAAAA